CCAGGTCCAGTCCTGGGTACCCTTGTTTCCAGGCCTAGTTCTAGGTAGCCTTCTTTCCAGGCCCATTCCCTGGCAAATTTGTTTCCAGGCCCAGTCCCAGGAATCCTTGTTTCCACGCCCTGTCCCGAGTACCCTTCCTATCAGGCTATGTCCGGGGCAACCTTGTTTCCAGGCCCAGTCCTGGGTTAGTTCCTTTCAGGCCCACTTCTGGGTAACCTTGTCTCCAGGAGCAGTAGGGATCCCCTTGATTCCAGGCATAGACCCGGATACCCTTCCTTCCAGGCCAAGTCCCAGATACCCTGGATTCCAGGTCAAGACCCAGGTACCCTTGTTTCCATGCACAGTCTCTGGTACCCTTGATTCCAGGACCAGTTCCAAGTACGCTTCTTTCAGTACCAATCCCAGGTCTCCTTGTTTCCAAGCCCAGTCCCTGATACCCTTGTTTCCAGGAAGGTTCTAGGTAGCCTTCTTTCCAGGCCCATTCCCCAGCAACTTTGTTTCCAGGCCCAGTCCCGAGCATGCTTCCTTTCAGGCCCAGTCCTGGGTAACCTTGTTTCCGGGATCAGTAGGGTTCCCCTTGTTTCCAGGCCTCGTTCTAGGTAGCCTTCTTTCCAGGTCCATTCCACGACAACTTTCTTTCCAGGCCTAGTCCCAGGGATTCTTGTTTCCACACCCAGTCCCAAATATGCTTCCATTCATGCCAATCCTGGGTAACTTTGTTTTCAGGACCAGGAAGGGTCCTCTTGGTTCCAGGCCCAGTCCAGGATACCCTTCCTTCCATGCCAAGTCCCCCGTACCCTGGTTTCCACGTCAACTCCCTGGTACCCTTGTTTCCAGGCCCAGATCCGAGTACCCTTTCTTTCAGGACCAGTCCCGAGTACCCTTGTTTCTAGGTCCAGTCCTGGGTAATCTTGTTTCCATGTCCTGTCCCTGCTACCCTTGTTACCAGTCCCAGTCCCGAGTAGCCTTCCTATCAGGTCCATTCCCGGGTACCCTTCTTTCCAGGGCCATTCCCCAATACCCTTTCTTCCAGGCCAAGTCCCACATAAACCTTCTTTCTAGGTCAAGTCCCCAGTACCCTTGCTTTTATGCCCTCTCCCGGGTATCCTTTTTTCCAGGCCCAATTCAGGTACTCTTGTTAAAAGGCCCAGTCCCGAGTACCATCCCTTTCAGGCCCAGTGCAGGATACCCTTCTTTCCAGGCCCAGTCTAGAGTAAGCTTCCTTTCAGGCCTAGTCCTGGGTACCCTTCCTATCAGGCCATGTCCTGGGCACCCTTGTTTCCAGGCCAGTCCCGGTTACCCTTCCTTCCAGGCCAACTCAAAGGTTCCCTAGTTTCCTGGTCAAGTGGCGAGTACCCTTGTTTCCACGCCCTGTCCCGGGTACCCTTCCTATCAGGCCATGTCCTGGCCACCCTTGGATCTGGGCCCAGTCCGGAGTACGCTTCCTTTCAGGCCCAGTCCTGGGTAAACTTGTCTCCAGGAGCAGTAGGGATCCCCTTCTTTCCAGGCATAGTCCCAGATACCCTTCCTTCCAGGCCAAGTCCCATATACCCTGGATTCCAGGTCAAGTCCCAGGTACCCTTGTTTCCACACACAGTCCCGGGTACCCTTGATTCCAGGAGCAGCTCTAAGTACCCTTCTTTCAGTACCAATCTCGGGTAGCCTTGCTTCCAGGCCCAGTCCCCAGTACCCATAATTGCAGGCCCAGTCCCAAGTACCCTTCATTTCAGGACCGGTCCGGGGTAACCTTGTTTGCGTGAACGGTAGGGATCCCCTTGTTTCTAGGCCTAGTTCTAGGTAGCCTTCTCTCCAGGTCCATTCCCCAGCAACTTTGTTTCCAGGCCTAGCCCCAGGGATCCTTGTTTCCACTCCCAGTCGCAAATATGCTTCCTTTCAGGCCAATCCTGGGTAACCTTGTTTCCAGGACCAGTAGGGGTCCTCTTGATTCCAGGCCAGTCCAAGATACCATTCCTTCCAGGCCAAGTCCCCCGGACCCTGGTTTCCACGTGAAGTCCCGGGTACCCTTGTTTCCAGGCCCAGTCCCGATTTGGTTTCCTTTCACGCCCAGTCCTGGGTAACCTTCTTTCAGGGAACAGTAGTGGTCCCCTTGTTTCCAAGCCCAGTCCCTGATACCCTTGTTTCCAGGCGTAGTTCTAGGTAGCCTTCTTTCCAGGCCCATTCCCTGGGCAACTTTTTTTCCATTCTAGTCCCAGGTACCCTTGTTTCCAAGCCCAGTCCCGAATATGCTTCCTTTCAGGCCAATCCTGGGTAACCTTGTTTCCCGGCCCTGTCCCGTAGACACTTCATTCCAGGCCAAGTCCCAGGTACCCTGGTTTCGACGTCAAGTCCCGGGTACCCTTCTTTCCACGCACAGTCCCTGGTACCATTGATTCCAGGACCAGTTCCAAGTATGCTTCTTTCAGTACCAATCCCGGGTCGCCTTGCTTCCAGGCCCAGTCCCGAGTACCCATGATTGCAGGCCCAGTCCCGAGTACCCTTCCTTTCAGGCCCGGTCCTCGGTCACCTAGTTCCTGGTAACAGTAGGGGTCCTCTTGATTCCAGGCCCAGTCCCGGGTACCCTTGTTTCCAGGCCAACTTCTAGGTAGCCTTCTTTTCAGACCCATTCCCCGGCAACTTTGTTTCCACGCCCTGTCCCGGGTACCCTTCCTATCAGGACATGTCCTACGCACCCTTTTTTCCAGGCCCAGTCCCGAGCATGCTTCCTTTCAGGCCCAGTCCTGGGTAACCTTGTTTCTGGGATCAGTAGGGTTCCCCTTGTTTCCAGGCCTAGTTCTAGGTAGCCTTCTTTTCAGGCCCATTCCTCTACATAGCCTTCTTTCCAGGCCCATTCCGCGGCAACTTTGTTTCCCGGCCCAGTCCCAGGTACCCTTGTTTCCAAGCCCAGTCCCGAATATGCTTCCTTTCAGGCCAATCCTGGGTAACCTTGTTTCCCGGCCCTGTCCCGTAGACACTTCATTCCAGGCCAAGTCCCAGGTACCCTGGTTTCCACGTCAAGTCCCGGGTACCCTTCTTTCCACGCACAGTCCCTGGTAGCCTTCTTTCCAGGCCCATTCCCCGGAAACCTTGTTTCCAGGCCCAGTCCCCGGTACCCTTGTTTCCACTCCCTGTCCCAGGTACCCTTCCTATCAGGCCATGTGCTGGGCACCCTTGTTTCCAGGCCCAATCCCTAGTACCCTTTTTTTCAGGCCCAGTCCTGGGTAACCTTGTTTCCAGGACCAGTATGGGTCCCGTTGTTTCTAGCCGCAGTCTTGTGTACCCTTCCTTCCATGCCCACTCCCAGGTACCCTTTATTCCCGGCCTAGTTCTAGGTAGCCTTCTTTTCAGGCCCATTCCCCGTAACCTTGTTTCCATATCTAGTTCTACGTAGCCTTCTTTCCAGGCTCATTCCTCAGTCATCTTATTTCCAGGCCCAGTCCCAGGTACTCTTGTTTCCCCTCCCAGTACCGGGTACCTTTCCTGTCAGGCTATGTCCTAGGTACCCTTCTTTCCAGGGCCATTCCCCAGTACCCTTTCTTCCAGGCCAAGTCCCAGGTACACCTTCTTTCCAGTTCAAGTCCATGGTACCTTTGCTTTTATGCCCTCTCCTGGGTCCCCTTTTTTCCAGGCCCAATTCAGGTACTCTTGTTACAAGGCCCATTCCCAAGTACCATTCCTTTCAAGCCCAGTCCAGGATACCTTTCTTTCCAGGCCCAGTCCAGAGTACCCTTCCTTTCAGGCCTGGTCCTGGGTAACCTTGTTTCCAGGACCAGTAGGGGTCCCCTTGTTTCCAGGCCCAGTCCCTGGTACCCTTCCTTCCAGGCTAAGACCCAGGTACCCTTATTTCCAGGTTAAGTCCCGAGTACCCTTGTTTCCACGCCCAGTCCCACGTACCTTTTTTTCCAGTCCCAGTTCAGAGGACCCTTCCTTTCAGGTCCAGTCCTTGGTAACTTTGTTTCCAGGACCAGTGCCAATTACCCTTCCTTCCAGGCTAAGACACCAGTACCCTTGTTTCCAGGCCGAGTCCCAGGTACCCTTGTTTCCAGGCCGAGTCCCGAGTACCCTTCTTTGCAGGCCCAGTCCCTAGTAGCCTTCTTTCAGGCCCACTCCTGGGGACAGTTTTTCTCAGGCCCATTCCAGGTAACTTTGTTTCCTGTTACAGTCCCGGGTACCCTTGTTTCCACACCCTCTCCCGGGTACCCTTGTATCCAGGCCCAGTCCCTGGTACCCACTGGTATCCTTGTTTTCACATCAAGTACCAGGTACCCTTGCTACAAGGCTCATTCCCAGGTACCCTTCCTTTGATGCCAACTTCTGGGTGCCCTTGTTTCCAGGCCCAGTCCCAGTTACCCTTCCTTTCAGCCCCAGTTCTGGGTACCCTTGTTTCCAGTCCCATTCCTGGCTACCCTTGTTTCCAGGCCCAGTCACAAATACCCTTCCTGTCAGGCCCAGTCCCGGGTACCCTTGTTTCCAGGCCCAGTCCCGGTTACCCTTCCTTCCAGGCCCAGGCCTGAGTACCCTTGTCTCTAAGTCCAGTCCCTAGTACACTTCCTTTCAGGCCCAGTCCCGGCTACCCTTTTTTCCAGGCCCAGTCCCTGGTACACTTGGTTACAGGCCCACTCCCTGGTAACCTTGTTTCCAGGCCCAGTCCCCGGTACCCTTGATTACTGGCCCAGTCTCAGGCACCCTTCTTTCCAGTCCCAGTCCTGGGTACCCATGTTTCCAGGCCTAGTCCCCGGTAACCTTCTTTTCAGTCCCAGTCCTGGGTACCCTTTTTTCCAGGCCCAGTTCCGAGTAGCCTTGTTTCCAAGCCAAGTCCCAGGTACTCTTGTTTCCAGGCCCATGACCAGGTACCCTTGTTCCCTGGCCCATTACCAGGTACCCTTGTTTCCTGGCCCAATCCCAGGTACACTTCCTTCTTGCCTAGTCCCAGGTACCTTTGTTTCCACGCTCAGTCTTGACTACACTTATTTCCAGGCCCAGTCCTAATTACCCTTTTTTCCAGGCCCATTCTTGGGTCCTCTTGATTCCAGGCCCAGTCCCGGGTGCCCTTCTTTCCAGGCTCCTTCCTGAGTACTCTTCTTTTCAGGTCCAGTCCCAGATACCCTTGCTTCTAGGCTGAGACCCCGGTACCCTTGTTTTCAGGCCCTGTCCCCGGTTCCCTTGCTTCCAGGCCAAGTCCCAGGTATCCTTCCTTGTATGCCAATTCCTGCTACCCTTGTTTACAGGCCCAGTCCACGGTACCCTTGGTTATAGGTCTACACCCTGGTAACCTTGTTTCCAGGCCCAGTCCCGGTACCCTTGGCTACAGGCTAAGTCCCAGGTACCCTTGTTTCCTGGCCCAATCCCAGGTACCCTTGTTTTCAGGACCTGTCCCGAGTACTATTCCTTTCAGGCCCTGTCCTGGGTACCCTTGTTTCCAGGCCCAGTCCCCAGTTCCCTTGCTTCCAGACGCAGTCCTAGGCACCTTTCCTTTCAGACCCAGTCCAGGGTATTCTTGTATCCAGGCCAAGTTACGGGTACACTTTCTTCCAGGCCCAATCCCAGGTACCCTTCCTTCCCAGCTTCTGAGTCTTAGCAGGGCTGAGTCATAGATCAGAAGGAGTGGGTAACGTCATAGGAAGGTACCTCTCCCCAAAATTATGGTTTCTGTTGAATGAGGGTTTGTGGGTGGTTTAGGGTACCTATTTCCACCAATTCCGGAGAGAGATCAAAACCAATGCCTTTTATCTTTCCTCCCCCTCTGTCCTCTATCTCTCTTCCCTTTCTCATCTTGAGCTTTTAACAACTAACATGAAAGGCTCTAAGCCATAGAAATGGGTTTTTGCTTTTAGCTCATAATGTTCTTTTGTATCTTTCCCCAATGCTAAATATATTGTCAAAGTTGAAACTTTTCAAGAGTCCTGAAAATCCAATTTTGCTTGCTCCTGCCATGCCAATCCTTCCCAGATGTGCCTTTTCTTCTCTTCCTGATATATCTTCAGTATCCTGATTTGACCTAATAAGTCACAGTGGGCCTTCTTCCCTCCTCATTTCCTCCTACTTCATGTGACCTGTCCTCTCGTTTTCTGCCACAGGTGCCCTGGCTTGAGGAAATACCAGGCCAAAATGGTGGAGGAGAAATGTCAGCTGGACCACAAGAAGCAAGAAGTGCCCCCGGAGCCAGAAGCAAACTGCCCTTGTGGGGAGAACTTCTTTGATATTGATGCCATCTTATCAATGGACTCTGAGTATTCATCAGTTGCCCCCATGGTACCCTGGAGTAGCCCAGAGCCTGGCTTGGTGAACCCAGCATTTGAGGAGACAGATGAAGATTCCATCCTGAGTCTTTCCACATCTGGTACAGGCTTTGGGAAAGGGATTATGGGGAAAAAAAAAACCTAGGAGTCTTGGTAAACCACGAGCTCAATATGAACCAAAAATATGACCCAACATTCCCAAAACAAATATGATCTCCTGCTGCATTAAGAGAGGCCTAGCTTCCAGGACTAGGGAGAAGATAGTCTGCTGTAGTCAGGCCACATCCAGAGGAGTGTGTTGTATTCTACAGGCCTGAGCCCATGTTGTTCCAGGCCTCAGTTTACCCTTGGAAGCAAGAAGCATCTTAGGGAGGGAACAGCCCTATCCAGCCAAAAGAGGACCAAACCCAACCTTAGCCTTCTGAGACATGGAGAACCTAGGGAAGTCCCATGAGTGGTCATCAGTATGAAACTTGGGACCTAGATACCTAGCCTGAGAAAGCAGACTAAACCTGCCAGGCCTTCTGCATGGATGCCTTCTTCTGCCCAACACCCAGAATCCTACTCTTTGTAATCTAGAAGACTGACATCATGTTCCTTGGTCTTTACTAGCCTCAGAATGGCCCATGAGACCACAGAGTATAAGAAAGGTATTCTGGCCAGAATATTCAGGCCACTTCTCAAGAACAGGGGAGAAAGAAGGAGGGAACAAGTGTTTTATTAAGCACTTACTATAAGCCAAGCAGTGTGCTAAGGGGTTTTACAAATATTATCCCATTTGATCCTTATAATAAGCCCGGGAGGTAGGTGCTATTATGATCCCATTTTACAATTGAGGAAACTGAGACAAAAGTTAAATGATCTGCCCGGGGTCACACAGCTAGTAAATGTTCAAGACAGGATATGAACTCAGGTCATCCTGACTCCAGGCTCAGTGCACCATTTAGCTACCTCTAGGAGGTACACTTTGTATGACCCAGTAACTCTAGGTCAAATCACTCACGTCCTCCTAATCCATCAACCAATGTTCCCTGAGTACCTGTGTTAAGCAACCAGGACTGGGTGGGAGGGAGGAAGAAAGGGAGGTGGAAAGGCCCATTAGGACACCACTTCAGTAGTTTAGGAAAATGATGATGGAGGCCTGGATGGCAGGGCCTCAGAAGCAGACACTTTCCCCTCCATTGGGTCACTTTAATCACTTTTCTCTTGTCCCCCCCTACCCCATCAGACCTGACTCGCAGCAACAGTCTTGTGGCTGAAACCGTCATCGTGGAAATTTCCCGGGATAACCCTGAGAAGGAGTTGGGGATGAGGATCGTCGGGGGCAAGGACACCCCACTGGGCAACATTGTTGTGCAGGAGGTCCACCAGGACACCCCCTTGGGCATGGATGGCAAAGTGGCCCCTGGAGATCATGTGCTCGAGGTGGGTGAGCATCTTCCTCCCTGGCCCATGGGATGCTGGGATGCTGGCCTGGTTCATGCTTCCCTACCCAATCAACAATAACAACAGCAGTAACAATAATCTCTTTTAGAGAGTACATGGAGGTGTATCACACACACACACACACACTCCTCCCAAGCCTGAGAGATCAATTGTAGGATGGTTTTTATCTCTGTTTTACATATAAGCAAACTGAAGTGGTGGCTAGCAGAAGTCACTTGCCCAAGATAACCCAGCTGACTGGAACCCAGGACTCTTGATTTTAGGTCCCTTTGTACCTACTATGTGCAGTGTTAGGTGCAGATGAAACAGTACATGATCCCTACTCTCACAGGGCTTACATTCTAATAGGGGCATGTGGAAGGCCCAGACAAAGTACAAGGAGAGATTTAAGGAGGTCCAGGGTATTTCACAGTTTTCCTGGGTTGGGGGAAGGATTAGGAAAGGACTCATGGAAGAAGCAATACTTGAACTAAACCCTGAAGAAAGAAAAAGAGTTCATCAGTGGAAAAGGGGGGATGTACGAGTCCACTCTCAGCAAAGGCATAGAGGTGGGAGAGTACAGGCTGAGAATTCCTGTGGTAGTGTGAGATGAGAAAGATAGATTGAAGCCAGATTATAGTTGGCCTTGGTTGCCAGGCTGAGGAGCTGATGTTTTTGTTTTTGTTTTTGTTTTTCCTGTGGGCAATAAGGGGCCATTGAAGGTTTCGAGCACAAGTTAGACATGCCTGTGCCTTAGAAAAATTATGTGGGTGTCTATGCAGAGGATGGATTGGGGAGGGGAGAAACTGAAGGAAAGAAGGTTCATTAAAAAGCTATTGCAAATATGAGAATTTGTTTTACTTGACTGTGCATATGTATTCCAAGGCTTTGTTTTTTTTTTTCTTTTCTTTTTTTTTCTTTTTTTTCCCCTCCCATTAGGGAGAGGTGAAAGGAAGAGAAAATAAATGCTTGTTAAAACAAACAAAGAAATAAACAAGAAGGAAATGAATAGATAGATGAATGGATTAATAAAATAAATAAATAAATAGATGAATGAATAAACGAATAAACAAATAAACTGATAAGTTTGAAAAATAACTAAAAAATTATGAAAGCTATTGACAGAATCTGAGGAAGGGCTGATAAAGAAGGTGGCTGAACAAAGAGTATTGAAGAAGAGGGGGCAAACAGGAAGAATGCAGTGGAGAAAGAATGGGCAGGATTTGGCAATGTGTAGGATGCATTGCTAAAACTTGATTCGCCTTCTCCTTGTTTTTCTCGGTCAACTGGGCTTGCTCTTACTCCATCCAGGAAGCAGTAGGTTTTGATGATGGTATTGGAGAGATGAAAGTTGCCCAGAAAGTCAGAGAGTCTGAAGGGGTCCCCTGGCAAATTGTCTTTCCTTCTAGGTCAACGGGATCAACATCAGCAATGTCACCCACTCTCAAGCAATCTCCCTGCTCCGCCAGGCGGGGCCTGTGCTGCAGCTGGTGATCTTGCAAGAGAAAGGCTTCCTGAACAAGCCACTCCAAGATGACAGCCCAATTCCCAGCAGGGCTGGGGAGATAGTGCATGTCACCCTGATGAAGAAGGACCGGCTGCAGCCCCTGGGTATCAAACTGATTCGCAAGGCTGGCAAGGCTGGGATCTTCATCCTAGACCTGCTGGATGGTGGCCTGGCAGCCAAGAATGGAAAGCTGAGTCAAAATGACAAAGTGCTCTCCATCAACGGGCAGGACCTGAGACAGGGGACACCAGAGACAGCAGCCCAGATCATTCAGGTTAGTGGTGGCCTGGCCATTTCCAGGAGGGGCAGGGAAGCCCGGGATGGTGGCCAAGGGAGCAGGACTCAGAAATTCCTAGATCTGAATCCTACCTCCAATACTTACTAGCTGTGTGACTTTGGGCCAATCACTTAACCCCTCAATATCTCTATCTGTAAAATGGGTGGGGAATAATACCTGCAGTAGTATGTCATTGCATGTGAAACTCTTTTCACTTCATAAAGGATCCTATAAAATGTCAGCTGTTATTATTTAAAGCTGGCAAAGGGCCTTAGAGATTACCTGGCTCAACCCTTTCATTTCATAGATGAGGAAGCTGAAGCCAGGAGAAGGGAAGTCACCTCTCCCAAGATCACACAGACTTAGGAGGCAAATCCGGGTCCTCTGACCACAAATGCTCTTTCCGCTACTGCATGCTGCCTTGTGGGCAAGGGCAGACTCCATTGTGATGCCCAATGCCACCAAGCATTACACTTTGCAAGAGGTGGGCATTTGCAAAATCTCATGGGGCATTGCTACGTATTTGGGAAGATGCAAAGTTTAGATAAGATGTGCCCCCTGTCTCTCATGGAGTTTATGGTCTAGTTAGTAGTAATAGTAGTAGTAGTAGTAGTAGTAGTAGTAGTAGTAGTAGTAGTAGTAGTAGTAGTAGTAGTAGTAATAGTAGTAATAGCAGTAATAGTTGTAGTAGTACAAGTAGAAGTAGTAGCTTCCTTCATCATAATTAAGTATAATCTATGACATTACATGAAACATGCATTAGAAAGACATAGAACAAAATGCATTGTGTGGGTCTGAGGAGTACAATCATTTCCAACCAGGGCTAGCAAAGAAGGCTCCCTGGAGGAGGTGGCATTGACTCCATAGACTTTTAAGGATGGGTGGGAACTCAGCGGCCAAAAATAGGACAGAAAGTCATTCCAGGCTTAGGAAAAAGTCTGTCCAAAGGCACTGAAGTGGGAGAGCACCCCTAGTGATTGGGAGGCAGAGAATTGTCCAGGCTGGCTGGATTATTGAGTGGATGAAGAGGATACAAGGCTAAAAACGTTAGGGGTAGTGTCTGATCATGGAGGGTCTGAAATGACAAGAAGAGCAGTTGAAAAACTTTACTGGGTAGGCAAGAGAGGGCCAGTTTTTGAGCTGTGGAATAACACAAACAGATCCATGCATGAAGAGGATTATTCTGGAAAAGGTATAAGAGTGGTTGAGGGAGAGTGGAAGATTGAAGCAGTAAGACTTGTTAGGGCCTTTTTCCTACAGTCCAAGGGGGTGGATATAAAGACTTTCTCTAGAATAGCAGCAGTAGGAAGAGATGGGAGATTCTCCAAAGTGGTATCCATAGGACTTGCTAACTGAATGGGACAGAAAAGGAAGAGTCCAAGTTCCTCAGGTTATCAATATGGGACCCAAAGTGAATGGTGGGGCCACCACTAGAAAGAATGAAGTCAGAAAGAGGGGCAGATTTAGGGAAAAAGAAAAAATGCTTGGTTGGGGACATGTCAGGTAGAGATGCCCTGTTAGCCATTGGAGATGAGCTCAGGGGAGAGATCAAGGCTGTCTACAGCTGGATTCCTGATATATTTGAGTGATGAATCCCCCCTGAAGAGGTTGCATTATTCAAATCCCATTGGGTTGCAACCAATGACCATATTTTACATAAGTATACCTTCAAATAGTGGCAATTTGAATACATTTGAAGTGGTCTCATTATTCACTCTCCAAATAGACCCTAGCTGTATGCAACTTCAGGTGGCATCAATGTAGACTTGGGAGTTGAAGTTTAGCCATGGGGTGATTGCCAATGGGGAGAGTGTCAGGAGAGCACCCAAAGGAGATGGAGAGTGAGTGTAGCATCTCTGAGGCTGATGAAGGAAAGAGAATTTGATAAGAAGACTTGGACAGCAGCACCATGAGTTTCACACAGCCCAAAGAGGATGAGAACTGCCAGAAGGCCATTGGCTTGGGGGAATTGAAAGGTCATCGGTGACCTTGCAAAGCACAGTGGGGGGGGGGGCAAGTCTGATTGCAAGATGATGGAGAGAGTGGGGACTAATGAAGTAAAGATAATGAGTGGAGACAACTTGTCCAAGTTTAGCAGTGAGAGAAGAAGGGAGAGATAGAGCAGTGACTCACAGGGCTAGAAGAATCCAGAGAATCCTAGGAGGGGAGTGGGGATGCAGAGACCGAAACATGTTTGTGGCCAGAGAGGAAGGAGCACAGACCAAGGGAGACCCTGAAGCTATATGACAGAGGGATGAATGGGCTAGAGAGGGGTTAGCCCTTAATGAGGAATAGGGAGATCTCCCATTCTACGAGCACTTAAGAGTCGCCATTGCTCTATGATGTCAAGAAAGTCTGCAGAGTGGAGGTGGGGAAGCCAGCGGAGTTCATAGCACATGGCCGCAATATCTTCAGTGAAGTGGGAGTAGAGGTCATCCATTCTCCATGTGGGAGGGCAGTTGGTGGAGAGGAGAAAGAAGAATCATTTGAAACAGTAGCAATGGGATGTGAGATAAGGGTTGGATTGGCTCCCAGCTGATGTTCTGTACCATGAATTCAGAGTGAGTGAAATCAACTCAACGTGATCCAACTCAATGACTTTCTCTTCTGCATCTTAGCAGCCCTGGAACCAGATGATAGGGTGTTCTCAGGGATGCAGAACCTAGAGGACAGGCCCTGGGTGAGCTTGGGTGGGGTAAGCAATAAAGTCACCAGCCATGGGGAGGCCAAGGGTGTTGAGGTTGTCAAAGAGAATGTCAAGAAGAATACCAAAGTCCCCAAGGAGGACAGCAGGAGAAGGAATGGCTAGCACTCAAGTCACTGACAGAGCTGGGTTGAGAAGACTTGGGTGAACTATTGCAGAGCTGAGTTAGCAGAACTAGAGAAAAATGCACACAATGTCGACAACCCAGTAAATGGAGGGAACAAAAATGAAACCGAATGCAGTGTTGGCCCCAGAGAAGGGCTGAGAAAATGCAAACCTACCTCTTTGTAGAGGTGGGGGACTATGGGTGTGGAATATTGCATATCCTGTCAAGGCGCAATCGATACATTGGTTGATTGGTTGTGATGAACTGCCTTTTCCCCCCTCTCTTCCTTTTTAGAAGGCTTTGCTAAAAATAGATAAAGTCCTTCCTATAAGATATTTAGTACCAGGAAACTTGACCTACTGGATAGAGATCTGGTCTCTGAGCCCAGGAAGACTTGAGTTCAAGTCCCACCATTGGCACATACTGGTTATGTGACCCTGAGCAAATTTTTTCACCTCTCAATGTCCCAGGAAGCTCATAGACTGGAAGTTAGGAAGGAAGAGCCAATCTACATCAGTAGAGGGAGATCCTCCCCCAGTAGTTTCCCATGGCCCATGCCCTCTCCCTAGCTCCTACAAAGAATGACTTGCTGAATATTGGAAGGAGAGAGCTATACTTGAAATGAAAGTGATTATAAAAACAGAAAATATATATATTTTTTAAGAAAAAGCTAGGAGAATGACCTGGAGATCAGTCAATGCTAGGAACAAGGATAGGGAAAAATGAAGTAAAGACAGATAGCATAGCCCTTAGGAGGGGGAAGTTTCCTGGTAGAAAAAGAGATGAGAAGCACCACTAAGGAGCCAGGAGTGGCCCCATGTGTCGGGGGAGAGGGCAGGGGTAGCGAAATAAATAGCAGCTGCAAGTGCCCACCTAGAGGTGCCAGGGCTGTGGTTTTGCCAAGGGAAGTGGAAGAAAGGAAGGCTGAGGATGAAAGGGGGTTATTACCAATAAAGTGAGTGTTTCCGTGGGCCCAGTGGAACGGCCTAGGGGACTGATGGACTAGGTGGAAGTGATTCTGAGAAGGAAGAGGGACAATTCATATAAGGGGGTAATCAGTCTGAGCTTCATGCTTCTAGCTGTGGATGAGAGCCTGGATGTCTGGCATTGAGAAACCAGCGCGGTGGTAGATGGATAGACATGGAGGGGCTGTCTCTGTAACCTGGGACTGAAACTGAGAAAAAAGAGGCCCCACAAAGGGAAAGGAAGGGAAGGGAGCACTCCTTGGAGGTGGCAGGCCCACCTGGGGATGAGCACAGAGGATGGAGAAGAGACAAAGTTAGCCCCTTCTCTAGTTTCTGTTGTCTTTCCTTTACCTCTGCACCAAGAGGGACAGAACAGAAATGGCCAATGGAGAGTTGATCCCTAAGATAAGCAGGGAGAGAACAAGAAAACCCTGAGTTGCCCTGGATGAGTTCAGGTGCTTTGGCCAGGATGATCTCCATCCCTGGTTACTGAAAGACCCAATGGATGTGATGGCCGAGTCTTCATCACTGAGCTAGCACAGATTATGAGTACTCAGCTCCCTAAACAAAAATCCCTTATATGATATACCTAACAAATGGTCATCTAGCTTCTTCTTGAGGACCTCAAATGAGGAGGGGCCTACTCCCCTATGAGGCAGCTGATTTCACTTTGCGGTAGGTTGATCAATGCTTTTTTTTTTTTTTAAAGCTTGTTTCCAAATGTCACCATCCACCACATGCACTTCAAATCTCCCTCACACCAAAGAAGCACAGCTAAGCATTGACCTGTAGGACAGTGTGTGCCTCATTCTGCACCTACCATTCACCAAGAGGAGAGAAGTCTGCTCTAACTCCTAGTCATCCAAAGTCACAATTGTTCTCTTGGCATTATTGCAATCTGCGTGTTAACCTGGTTATTTTGTAGGTCGTTCTGGTTTTGCTCATGATAAAACCTGCCTCAGTTCAGAATCTTCCCAAGTTTCCCTGAATTCTCCACATTCATGATCTCTCACACACACTAATATTCCCTTCTGTTCCCCTGTCACCAATGGCACGCACAAACATTCCGCAATCGATGAGCACTCACTTTGTTTCCAGCTCTTTGCTACCATTAAAAAGTGTCTCTGTAAGTCCTTTTGGATGGATAGAAGCTTTCTATTTGTCTCTGAGCTCTGTGGGGGTCTACCACTGGTCAAAAAGTATATACTGAAGTTGAGTGATT